AGAATGAAAGAGCATTGGTGAGCCGATTAGAAAGAAGAGAAAGAAGAAAGAACGGTTTATTTGGCGTCGATCTTTAAACTGACACGCGCGCCCAAAACGCAGGATTTCCCTCTTTTTTTCTGATATGAGTCCCGCGCACTACTAGCAGCAATCTTCTGTGTCCGATCAGAGTCACCGTAAGTAGAGTGGAGCAATTCGAGTTCACGTCAGTGCACTCTGCTGTATACAGGAATCGAGACCTGATTCTCCATCAATATGCCCCATGAGTTCCTGTGAATGGCAATTTTTGACAAGCGACCTGCAAATTTAATCTAATTTGCTAGAAATAGGCAAGACTTGCAGTACACAGATAGATAGTAGATACTAAACATACGGAAGAACGATCAAACGGTGAGGTATTGGCTGGACCTGTACCGATGTAGACCGATAAGTAAAGTTTAATGTCAAACGTTGCTTGTAAAAAAATTTCAGATTGTTAACCCATATTTAACTGTAGGTCTTCTGGACTTAGCTTCGCATCTTCACAGAACAAAATCGTTTTACAAATACTAATGATGAAGCAGAAGTCACATTAAGCAATAAGAGTTTTGTATATCTTTATATACGTATAGAAACAAGTCTTAATAATTTGTACATATTATTTGAGTCGAAATGTTATGAGTATTATATGATAGAAGGCTGCCGCAATTTTCCTCTGTCAAAAAGCTGTCTAACAGATTTTCTCTAAACCACGAGAAATAGAACCGGCAAGTGAGGTTGAGTCACTGAGCTTTACCACTGCACTGCTCAGTCTGCTTGAGGCAGGCCAAAACACTATGAAAGACATTAGGACACATAATCGCCATAACCCGCTAGCCTAGAATGTCTGCACACAACAGATTAATTTCCTTAAATCCAGAAGCCTGAAAACCGAACGCAAGGGACAATTCAGATAAACTAGAGACAAAATACTTTATAACACACTAGGGCATATACACAAATTGGTTGTTTCATAACCACAAACGCTCCAGGATAAGCGAAGAATGTTTTCCTATTTGATGATATAGAGTGACCCGCTACGTCATGTAGCTGCCAGACTAACATGTGGACACTTGAGGACTGTAGTTGTTTGTCTTGTCAAGTGGCTGGACATCTCAATCGATAGTGAAAGTTCAATGAGAAATGTACAATGAACCTCAAAATGGCAAACACCTTATTTATTGGACAACAGTATTGTAACTGTGTTACCCTATTGCTTGATATTGAACAATTATTAGCAATAATTCTATTTTTCGCAATGACGATTATGAAAACTTGGGGAGAGCATACGATAACGGACACATTATTTTTTTTTTCTAATATCGGCATCGTTATACAATTAACTGGCAGAAAATGCACAGTCCAACTGAGTTCTTACAACTGGAATTGCTCTGATACTCCGTCGTGTAACACGATACAATTCTTTTTTCTTCCTCTACGTTCCGTATATCTTCCTGAACAACATACGCTTTGCGTATCGGATCTTAGATAAATATCTGCGTCGTAGTGTCACGGTGCAATTGCTTGAGATGTGCTACTTCTAAGGCCAACAATCTAAAGCGTAGTATTTGAATCGCCTGCAAAATAAAAGCATTTTTATTCTAGACTTAAGCCTTAATAGCGATTGCGGTACCGTGCTTTCCAGCTAGCCACAAGGGGCGGAAGATTAAACATTGGATGGCTACCAGTAAACGGGATCTGTCGGTGGCTGGACGGTGCTGACAAGGTGTCTATTACATCTAAACCGTATTTACTTACTGTACATGAATATGAATTAGGTTTGACCCAAAAAAGGCAACTAGTACCTACTATCTAGCTGACGACCGAACATTATAGAAAAAAATATAATCTAAATTTCTTAATGAAAATACGTTACACAATGCACCAGATGGTCAAGTTATCTCTGACGAGGCAGACGAAGGGGAAAAACTCGACGAAGGTGAATCGCGAATGACGTATGGCTCTCGTGGGAGACGTTAGCTGATTTACCTAGAGCGCATGACAACATGTGACCGTCGACAGCCTAATGGAGGTGCGGACTTTAAAGGATCAAGAGCCAATGGACAGCCCGAAACTGTCGTTCCTGAACGAACATAACTGCCAAGAAGGGCTAGAGGAAAAATCTACCCTTGCTAAGTCAATTAAAAGGTCAACGCTTAAAAAGGTTCCAACTTTCGTTACGGCATATAAAAGACGTGTGCAGAACAAGAATAAAACAGTGTCACGCTTCAGTGAAGGAACTCGAAAATAACATTCATTGGTCGGCCTAGAGTCCGAAGTCACATACCCCTGTCAAGTGCACGCAGTACGTTACCAAACTGCTTTTGATCTATCGTACATTCAATATAAATTTCAGCTTACGAAACGCTGCCGCCTTATAGACTCTGTGAGTTCGTTTTCGTTCAACGCACGGCGTAACTGGTTGTAAAGGCGTCAAAAAGGTGCTAGTTAGCATGCTTAGTTAGTATGCATTAGCATAAAGCATAGTTGAATTTTCCATCAGACTTCGTTTATTTCGTCACGTCCTTAATGTCTATAGAATTGTCAAATGTATAGCGTGAGTATAAAGAACCACTTGAAAATACCGTGTCATATGGGCTATGATGGCTCAAAACATAACAAAACCGTTACTAACGGCTTGGAACAGTAATCAGTATCATATAGATAATTACGTTGCACACCATAAGCTGTTTTTACGCTAAGGGTTTTAGCCCGTGCGTGCGTGCGTGCATGCGCACGTCCCGGCAGTACTCTACAATACTCTAATGATTCTAGCTATGTTATATTGTTGAAGCTAATGATAATGTCATCGAAGGCGTCATTTTTTAGTGCAATCTTCAGAAACGTCCCGTGGACTCTTGAGTAGCGATTAAAATAGTGCTCTGCTTGTCGTGAAGATAACGCAATGGAAAGTTGTATCTAGAGAACGTACAGAACTACCAGAATCGATAAGATTTTTCACTGTTGTAACTGAATAGTTGTGTATTTCGTTTTTTTTTTTCTGATTTGGATCTCACTGGACTTAGAGGCGTTAAAAAGACCTTGCTCTAAATCTGGCCTGACTCATACTCAGAGCAGAAATAGTATTTCTGCTCAATTCTGTGCTTTCTTTTCAGTATCGTTGACATGCCGTTTGCATACATCAACCAATACGTATCCTGCAGTTTAATTTCATGTGTAGGCATATAGATCGGGTGCCATTGTGTGTGCGCCTTCGTTTGGCGTTTCCAGTAAACCTATGTGCAGCGGGACATTATACATGTTTAGGTGATGATGAGCCCAACTTCCTGATACAAGGTTTGGCGTTAGGAATCGATTTAGTAGAATTTATGTTTTGTCGATCCTACCATGTTTCGCCTTTCATGCTGTATTGCTACAAAGCGCTCGCGCTAATCAATACAAATTTACATAATATATAATAAAAGCTAGTCTATAGTCAGAATGACCATTCTCGTATTCGAGGTGGTTCCAGTAGTAACAATACGAAGATGGAATGCGTGAGCTAGGTTTGATGCAGACCTACGTAATAAACGTTAACCTCGTCTGTGCTCCGTATCTCCCCCATTGCAATCAATAGTCGAGCATGTATTTAGAGTTGAGTATGTATATAGGCTTGTGAAGTCGTTACAGGGGACTCTACTAATAAAAGTTAATCGGGAAGGTATTGCCACTTGTGATTCTGCACGTGTTCAAGCAGTCTGCGACCCACGGCTGTGAAAAAATGAGACGAGAACTTATAGTTGAGATTATTCCAGCAGAAACCGTTGGACAGATTATAGGTCCGGCATTTAAGAATAGAACTCAGACACTATAAATGTATTGTTTTTTCTTCTGTCTTCCAGGTGATAAGTACTGCGAATCTGTTATCCGAATTTTGTACTGGTTAACAGTCAACCTCCACTTCGATCCATAATGCCATTTACTCTGATTGGCGGCCCAGCTATGGCTCTGGCCATGTAATAAGCGGTCCATTCGACTAAAGACGTCTGCTTTCTGAGAGATATGTTTATCAAGCGAGATTATTTAAGCAAGAACTGTGCACAGCTTTTGTGAAGCTATGAAGTTTTGATTAGTTTGAAGGGCATTATTAACGAAAGTTTACTGGCTAAGTTACAAACTCAATGCTTTTGACTAGTTGAAACAGTCCTATAAGTAAAATTAACTCTCGCCGAATACCACAGAAAGTGATTTCCTTGACCTACACAGTGAAGATCACGGATTTAAAGAATAACACTGATTTTTAGGTCCACTTTTTTGTTGTTTTAAGTTTTAAGCGCACTGTTTAACGCAACTCCGACGAATACGACGGGCCACCTATTAGCAGCTACCTGTCCATGGATCAAATATGACGAGCGGGGGTGCACAAAACTCGTTTCTGCAAACACGACTGAATCACGTTTATCGTGTAAGTTTCTATAAAGATATGGCATAGTTGATGCACACCATGGCAAACAAAGAGGTTGGCTACGATCAACACCAACACTGTCATCGTACCTTTCGACAGCATTCGAATTATAACCGGTGCTATGAACTTTTCTAACCCGTAAAACTTAGCCCGGAAGCCGCTAGTACTTACAAAATTTCTAAATCATATTAGTTTTTGGGAAACAAATCGTCATCCTACATATAAAGGATAGCTGCGCTGTTTTACTGCGCATGTGCAGATGCTACAGTATATATATAAAAACCGATATATACAATATACGCCTGTTCCTTTTCAGGGAGTCAAAAGTGAACGCCGTTGCAGATTAGAAGTCTCAGCATCAATTATTCCGCTGTTTCTTTTTAACTCTTCAAAATGTATGAAAGGGTTTGTTGGTCAGTAATATTAACTATAACAATTACATGGAAGATGGATCTTTCAAGATTTATCATCAACGAATCTTGAGGAGAGAAGCATGCATTTCTAGACTAACTATTATATATACGAGATAGCTATCTTCTGAAAATTAGGACCAACACCCGCTTTCCATGACACTTACCGGTATTTGGGTCAATATTCCTATGGTGTAGACACTCTTCCTCGCTCAGAAATACAAACAGCTCATCATATATAAGTCGAGTCTGCGTCGCCAGGGCAGCAACAGTTCGGCTTACGTTGGCCGCCAGCGTACTTAAATTACCATTTAAGCCAGAGGTGACACCTGTCTCTTCTATAAAGATCGGAGGTACCGCATCGCTGAACACCGTGGATGAGGCCGCAGCAGCGGCATTTCCCGCCACCGTAAGTAGACTGGACGATGAATCGGTAACGGCCGAGCTTAATGACCGTAAGCTTTTTATGGACGTGGCTAGCGTTTTTGTAGGGTTATTGACTAGACCTGCTACAGTAACTGCAGTTGAGGAATTTGTAGAAAAAGTATCACTAGCTGGACTTACTTCCCATATTGTTCTTCTGTTTCGCGGAATCGTTGTCGACGTTATTGATGCCATCGACACGAGGCGCGATGTTATGGAGCGAACAGTTACTGAACTAGTTGTTGCCGCCATATTACTGGTGGCAGGATTAACTCGAAGCGCCGTCAGTGCACTTGTTTCGCCGTTAATATCAAGCGCTGGGTCAATACCTGCCGATAGCGATAGTGTCATCGGAGCTGGAGTCATTGACTTCATTGCTGATGGCAAACCCGAGACAACTGCTGACAAAACTGTCGACGAAGCTGGTGATACGAAGCCGTCTGTTCCCGCCGGCTCTCTACTTTCTGCTGCCGATGATAAAGCCGGTGACGTAACGTATGTCCCGTTGTTCAAGTCGACAGATGTATCCATTGTGGTAGAAGATAATTCAAAGACGTTCACCTGTTTTATCTTACTAATTATGCATAGAGGTATATGTCTTTATTTGCATGTATTATTCAGTAGACGACAGCGTGTCGCATTCAAGTCTGCTTTTTCCACGAACAATCCTGAACTTTTACTACGAAATTTTTCATGAACTTTCTAGTTCACTGGTCGTTGATTCACACAGTAACTTAGACTCTATGTAGGCTACGAATGGAAATTAATTCTGTTGCTACTAACTTTTAGCCGAGCCGGCACGCAGCGCTGATCACAGTCTTCGTTTGGAACGAGTGTTCCGACAGAAGCTTGTCATCTCTGTCAGTTCGCAGTGAAGAGGCAGAAGAAAACCGAAATAATTGAAAACCTAATCTAGCTGTCTATGCTTCAATAATTGTGATCATTACTAGCAGCTCCATAGCTACGAACAGTCCATTTAAATTTCTCGTTCTTCGTAGTACATACGTGATTGGTTTGTTTGAAGTCAAAACACACAACTTAGACTCAAGTTACTAGTGTACTCGATATCTGCTGATATTAGCATGCAATCAAAACGTGCTCTTCGTGCTTGTGACCCTGCCTTGGTGATCAGAAACTTTCCTGGTTGAGTTGTGAAACATTGGACGACGTGTATCCCTCAAAAAGTATATCTATAGCTAACTCAATTGGGTGGAGAGGGAAACCTCTTCCCAAAGCAGCATGTGGCGCCCTCCGTTGCGCAGGAAAGGACTACCTTTTTTCTTTGTATTTTTAACGAGACTGACCACTAAGGCTGCTAACATGCTAATGTGCACCCGAAAGCTAAGTAGTGTGGGATTTTCGAGTAAAAATGCATATGCTTCGACATTTAGGTTGGGGGATGAAGCCTTAGAACTGCTTTAGCATTATTTCAAGGTTTCTATTCTTTCCCGCCGATATGTGTCACAGCGGCTTGCTATCGCGGCCCTGAATACAATTGAGACCGCTGCTTAGCATAGGCGCGGATCAAAAACCGGGGGTTCTGATATATATCGTGACTCCTGGTACCCATGCCCTCCGATGGGCATTTTCCTGTCCGCAGTCTGGGGACGCGCCCGATAGGGGTACAACAATTCCTGTCCTTTGCGCCGTTAGGGCATCCCGTCTCATTCGTCAAGAAGAAAGGACTACCCGTCCAGGCAGATCGACTATTTCTATTCTAATAAGTAAACAGCGAGTTTTAATGAAGCTGGGAAATGGTATTCTGACCTGGGCGACTGCAGAGCCGTAGACGATGACAGCACAAGCGATTTCTACGTTTTGGCCATCTAATATACGCGGTTCCCGCGACGGGACCAGAGCTGACTTTGCGACATTTCGTAATACGACTAACAACCAAAGATTAGCAAGCCTTTAGCATTATACCACCATGAGCTTGGCGTCATACATACCACCATTAGTTTTTCTCCCGCTTTGCCTTCGCATTTTTTGCTTGCACTAATAAATGTCACATAAACAGCTTTACTAATGTTAGTTAACCAAATAGTTACTGCTGCTATCTCTGCTTTGGCGAAAGCGAAGTTGCAAGCGAGCTGGCCATTTTACCGCCGGCGTGGCCATAATTATTATTGTCGTTCCACGTGGCCTACGGTCATATTGTGTAGCAATCAAATCAACACGCTATTACGGGACAACAATTTTCTAGTTCGTAGAAGTTTAATGCATCTATTCATGTGTATGCTATCGTAAACAGAACTTCATTAGTGAATTCAACAAAACAAAGTAGTACTTGTTTAATTAAATATAGTATAGGCAATGTGACTACCTTTCCACATAAGCGTCAGAAACCCTTTGACAGATCGAGGTTCAGTTATAATTCACGCAACACAACATAGGACAGTTATTATAGCTGGAAATTGAAACGCATGTCCTTCAGCTCCCCTGTAAGGCTATTCGTAGCTCATATTGTTTACGAGTGTAACATGTATAGGAATAACATTATAATGGTGTCCTTTCTGTCCAAACAACGCTTACGTTAAGAAAAACACAACTGCCATACTGGCCTTCATTCTGTGCTGTTATTCATTGATCGTGTCGGTGTAAGAGTGTCGGTGTAAGATGTACGACTAAATGTCTCTGTTTTGACCTTAGTTGTATGACGTCGTCGTTTTTTTCTAAGACCGAGTTTAATGGATACGTAACTTTCTATGGAGGTCAAACAACCGAAGAGGCCGCTGCGGCTGGTTTTTCATCTGCAGTTGATTTTTTGACTATGGCCGCACCATTATCAATCTATCCATAACATTGTTTGCTTTCATGATTCTGGCCTAGTGAATTTTCTGCGAGATCTAAACATAAATTGTACTTTTTGCAGAATCAACAGGGAAAAAAGTGTTTTTGAAAAAAACAAAAGTCATTTTGAGAAAACCAGCCGGGTGATCGCATAGTAAGCTATTCGTAAAAAAATGAATCGCCTCAGAATGAGTTACACCGTCTCGTTAGGGTAACGTTAAGGACACGTTTTGATCTAGACTCAAAGCCACACTTCGTTTCGTGCTGGGAAGCAGGCCTTTAGTGAAAGGAGAATCGACACCGAACGTAAAACGTCTTGATTGTGATGCATTCAGGAACGATATTTGGATAATCTGTCCACACTGAACAAATATAAAGCTATCTTTGGTTGACGATCAATATAACCTTTCGATGCCTAAGGTAAAAGTAAAACTAGGCATATATATATATATATTCTGAAGTCCGATTTGTTGTCGAAAACATAAGAATATCATTGTAGGCGTAAGAAAGAAATGTACATGGAGCTGACGCTTTGATACTGGTCTTGTGTAATTGGCTTGCGTCGTCCCACCCTTGGGCCAAATGCAAACGCAAAACATTATCATATACCTTCACGATCTTAGATAATTCAATGCTCCATTATTCCAATGCGATTCACGGCGTATGGGCAGATGGATCCATAAGCGTGGTTATCCTCGAAATTTCTTAATTATGTTGTCCTGTCGACCATTCTTTACCAAGCCACTTTATGGGAATAGAAATACTCTTTTTTTTTTTAATTCAGTCGTCACTTCCATCATTGTCAGTTTGTTTTCGGCTTTCGTTAGTCCTTGTCGTAGATGCAGTTCCACCGCATTATTTGTCTCTGAATCATTTGACAGAACACAGATCTAATCAATAGAGGCAGTTATTGCTATTCATCCTTTTCGTTCTTGAGGTATCTTGATAGCTTGTCTAGCTGTGCAGAGAAATAGACTAGACGTAATAATTACACTGGTGTATTGTACATTTCTATTCATGCTACTGTTTACAGGTGACGTTTATATATACTCTGTAGAAAATACGAGTTTATTCTCTAGTTTTTTAAAAAGACCAACTCTTCACTTTCAACGGCATATACTGAATAAATCGGCGAGCTGACATAAGCTTCACCTTCTAGTCTCCTTCTGCCTATTCGTTTAAAGATGAACGACTCCTCTCCGACGAAAAGGCTTCTTTCAAAAAATCCATTGAAAATGAATTACTGTCGTTTATTACAACAGGCAGGTCGTGCGCTAATCTGTACGTTTCGGATAGCTTTCTATACTTTACGCGTAGGTTTAAAGCAGTGTTACACACATATACAAATGTATATACACTGAAGTTTTGGGCAAGCCGCCAGTTTTCTTTACTCGAGAATACCGACTTCATTGAGTGAACTCGTTTCGATTCGACTGACAGACGCTCTCATTTGGTTATCAGCGTTCTTTAATCATGCAGATTGCTCAATCTGAACCTCGCGATTTCTTTTAATTAAGAGAAACTATTTTCTATAGTTTAATAGGTAGCTCTCGTCGCATGGTAAATTTCGTGTTGTTTTATAGACAGCTTAATTAGAAGGGTACCACCTTTCGGCCAGTATTTCTTACCACTCATCTACAGTCGGCGATGCTGATTGTTGCTTTCAGGCGCTGATGCGCTCACTCTGCCGATGTCTGACGTCTTAGTTAATCCGGTTGGGTGTTCTGATTCGATATAAAGGGCGGCATCGTTTTTAGAGAGTTACTGCAGCCATAATAACATTAGTAGCAGTTTTCACTAATATAGGCCAAACTTCTAAGAATCCGGGTGCCACAAATCTCAAACAAGATAGACCTCGATGGATGGGATAGGATGGCCCTCATCCGTCTTACCTGAAGAGAAGCTGTCGAATGGATTGCTTTGATTGTAAATACAATTGCGAGATAAGCTCCCGACAAGGTCTTCGCCCACGAACGCCTATTTCAGGGCACGAAAGCAACAAAAGTAGAATAGTTGCCAGAAGCATTTAGCTACCCTATTATTTTAGACGAATATTTTAATAAGACGAAGGAACGCAAAGCGATCGATTAAAATGAAAAATATATCAGTTGAATTAACAACCGTTATGTATTGCGGTTCATTTCGTTGACATAAAGAACTATATAAAACAGGCAACAAAATTCAATGGTGCATACGCATAGATGAAGAACAAACGGACCAGCTTGTGGTCGAGCTTGCACTTCTTGCTCAGTCCGCTTCACAACCGAAGTTATATGTAAAAGTAAACGACTGACAAAAGCTTCACAAAAGTAATACTACATCTGTAAGAGAAGCGTTTCAGACGTGCGGTTGATCATTCAACCCCGAATTTCTGAACTAGGGACATATAGTCCTAGAGAAGAGCTCTGAGGCTGAACAGCTCGTTTTACTGAGAAAACTTTGCCCCACGCTTATAAGATGTGCTTATCGTTCTGCACTAATGATTCGGCCATCGATAGAGCACTTACTTTTTTGACAATTTATATAGCCGTAAACCCTTTGTTTTACGCTCTCAAAACCTGCAGTGAGCTATATAGTGGGCAAATTCGGTGTGGTGACTCACTGTCATTCTAATACCCACAGTATTAGCCTCCCAAAACTCCCTTTTCTACTTTTTAGCTAGTTAGACTTTGTATACCACAGCGAGCGAAAAAATGAAACATAGACGCAACAATGAACAGATTTTTAACCACGCCTTTGAGTATGTCTCATAGTGAAAGATGCCATCGTATCATACTACGCAGATATTATGCTAGATATCATTGTCGCCAATTCAACAATGGTAGCTGTAAATTTCGTCGTCTGTCCTTATTAAGCTTTTGTCAGTCCTTGGAAAACCATGCAAGGAAAGCTAACTTAGGACACAGAGGTTTTGTATGCTCTACCTCCTTTAATCTTTCTATCTCTAGATATTAGAGAAATGTTCTTCAGAATTTCCAAAGGAACGAAGACGTCTGACTAAATGCGTCGAGTTGCCTTCTCAGAAAGCGACTCGATTTTTCACGTCAATGTTCCGTATAATAGTTAAACAATATGGTCAATTTACGACGAATGAGAACCGGATGACACTGTAGGGCGATATTGTCATGTGCCCGTTTATAGGATGAGCTGGTAGGAGCCTTAACGCTAGTGAATGATGGTTCGGCATAAAATTCATGCCACATAGCCATTTTAACTGAATTAACTTTTACGTACCCATAAAATTGGAACCAAACTGCTTTAGTTAACGGCACTAA